AAAACTGAAGAAGATAAATAGATGTGTGTATGTGTTGGAAAAACTTTACATTATTTTATCTTCTTTCAGCATCCATCACCAAAACAATTCACATAATCAATCATATAATCAGTTTTGTGAGCTATGCTAATGAAGTAAAAGCCAATGTGACCAATGTCGACAAAATTGTTAGAAGCTTCCCGATCATCAACAAAGGAGGAGCTGATGAGAGATTGTCTGCTCCGACCGAGTAAACTCCTCCTGACCCGTCTTTGACTTTGATGCTTGATGAGCCTTGAAATATTAACACATTTGTTATATATGCCAAAGAAAGTATGAAGAGTGATTTTGGTTCGCTACTTTTTTTGGGTTGTAGAGATACTTACAGTTATGATCTGCCCATCCAATCACTTCGTTCTCCAGATCGTACACTACTAACTTGTTCGAAAGCACCATATCTACCAAATGATAACTTGATGATTATGCTAGATGTAGTGTAGTACATGAGAGACCACAGTCAAACACACATGATTCATGTGGTATTGTTTAACCACTATTGTCTAGCATCATCTTCAATTTTATGTGTCCCGTTTGTCTCACGGTCAGCAATATCAAAAGAAAGAAAGAAAGATTTGATTAAACTTTACCTCCCAAGAGAATAACTTCTGAGCTTTCCTCTGTTTTCAATCCACCAGCTTGCCAACCGAAGCAATACATGTCTTTCTGTTAGCAAATAAGGAACAAGGGTTACATTTCTGGACGAATGAACATCCTAATCGATCTTGACGAAAATAGAGAACAAATTGGTATGACTAGAAAAATCTTAAACTTGATGAAAAAGTTTAGCAGTGTTGTCGGAATCTGGCAAGCAAATTTTCCGCATTAGAAAAACAAAATTTGTGCTGCCTACTGACTTATTACCTCAAGTGTGAAAAGATAATCATGCGGATAAACTGTCAGTTTGAGAGAGTCCTCAAAATCAAAATTTACTGGTGGGAATGCCTGATCCGGGCTGCAAGTTCAAGCAAGAAGATTTTAGCATATAACACCACTGGAAGGAAAAAAACACAACTAGCAGCAAGCAATCATGAACTCATGGTAACACATGATTGCAACATATACCATGGTGAGTTCGTGATTGAAGCATGCTTATACAACAAACATATAGAAGTTATAGATGCAATGATGATTGTTACATAAGCTAATATACATATACATACAACTTACTAAAAGAAAGGATTGAGTAAACCAGCCATTGATTAATTGGTATCTAAAACAAGAATGGTTCGGAAATAAACACGTAGGGGAAAGAAAAATGTCGTCTTACTCTTTAGTGAAGCTGAAACATTGGAAGGTGTCCTCTACGATGTGTAGTTTTACAGGTTGACGAGCAGTAATCTACACAGCAGATATCATGTCAGGATTGTGATTCGCATATATACTAGAAATCAACGCTACGACTATGAGCAGAGAAAGTTACCGTTTCTATTAGGGACTCATAAAGAGCCTTTGGAAAGTAAGCCAAAGTTGTACCACTATCAACAATGGTTCCTCCGTTCCTGACAATACTTGGTGGAAGGAAAAGAGGAGCACCATCGACATCCATTCCCCTCAACATAACATTGTAATGCATCCTAAAATTGTTGGACAATACAAGTTGTTACGAGATTCATGATTCAAGAGCATCCTTAAACAAGCATTAAAGTGTTTAAAGGCACTAAAGATTTTCACAATCAAACCATCTCATTTGGAAACTCCACACTATCAACTCACCGGTGAAGAAAATTTCCAGCTGATTTTGGAGTCAACCAAGAATTACGAGAAAACTAGGACATATTTGGTGGAATGTGAAGAGGAAAGGCAAATACTAAGAAGGTGTTCGTTGATACAAGAGCAAATGCAAATACGACTAAGAAAGTGTTCGTTGATACAAGAGCAAATGCTCCTACTCTTAACTTGTTAATTGCAAGAATTAAATGAGAAGACATGACGTACTGATTAGGTACCATAGGGGTTGTTTTAACGGTTGGAGAATCCACTACACCAACAGCAAATATGCCACCTCCTTTGACATTATCCAAGCAATGAGAGAAAACTCTTTTAGCGTCCCCCGTGGCAGCTAGTTGTGAAAGGACAGAGGTATTTGATTGTCCAAATCCCATAACGCCATCAACTGCTGACTCAGAATTCCGAAGTTGCCCTGATTGATCACTTCCACACCTTGTGAGAAAACGAAAGAAGAATTAATCAAACCATAAGTACTCAACACAATCTAGCAGAAGGTCACAATAAGCTCACCCGAAAACCACTTGCTGCCCAAGTGGTCCGGTTTGAAGATCTCCAGTAACTTGGTCGAGTGTTAAGCTGTCCCTTATAAAGCTGCCATCACTTGTGCTTTGGTCCGCATACACGATGTGATAACTACAACCAGTAGCGGGTTGACAGGTTTCGTATTGCGCAATGAAAGAGCAAAAATCATCTTCACAGCCAACCTTCTTAGAGGTGTTGGAAGCATTCATGTCGTACAATGATAAACGGAACTGCAATGGGAAAACACACAAATTAAAGAAAGATGATCCAATCAAGTTACCCAATAATAGACACAAATTAAGATTCATC